TTCTTCGGTTCAATACTAATCGCTAAGAAGACACTGCAAGCCAAGTGCCTAACTGGGAAGCAGCACAGAGGTACAGTTATCGTTGGAACCCCCAGACCTGGGTTTTAGTCCCCGACCTTCCACTCACTGTGAAGGATTTGGGAGAAGTTGCTTTGCCTCTCTGGGTCTCAGTTCTCTCCTATATGGAGTTGGGGATCATGTTTGGTGGTGGAGAGGATACAAGACTGGCTGGGAGTGCCCGGTATGATAACTGCTGAGACTAGGACAGTGGCAGGCAGCTACCGCTATTAGAACAGTATCAATTACTCCTTGGTTCCAGGGCCGGCACTGGCACTTCTGGCCTGGAGTTTGTCCCTGGGCCTTGCCTCTCTGGTTGCAGCCAGAACGGCATGTTCTGAAGGCAGAGGACTGTGTATTCCCTCAGATGAGGACCCTTTTGCCCTCCCAGCCCAGACAGTGACACCAGAGAGGGCCTCACCTGGCGGCCCCAGAGCTTGCGGAAGATCTGGAAATAGGCCATGGCCATGAGGCTCAGTGGCGCCAGGTAGGTGACAATGAAGAAGCAGCTGTGGTAGATCTTGGGATAGAGATCGTCTGCAGGGGCCAAGAGATGGAAGGGTTGGGCCCCCAGCCGGCCCCGCTTAGCAATACCGCCCTGCCCCAACTAGAGCCAAAGCTCGGCCCCATGCAGGAGCCCTGGCAGAGAGACCCTGGAGTTACTCAGGCCATGGGTGTGTCCATCCCAGAGGAACCCTGGCACAGCTGTCTACCTTAGAGGAGGTACCCACCCTGGAGGCAACCCTGGTAGATACCTGCTCTAGAGTGTCCTCCCGAGAGACCCCGGGGTGCCCACTGCAAAAGTGCCCTGAGAGATGTCTACCACTGGGTATGTATCCCAGAGGTGCCCACCTCAGGTGCCCTCCCAAGGCTCCTGCTCTTACCAGCCCAGCGTTCATCACAGACGGAGAAGAGCCGGGTGCGGTTGGCTAGCTCCGGCAGCACACTGCTGCACTCCATGACCGCAGCCTGGGGCACCATGACAGCCAGCGACACAGCCCAGATACCCAGGATGGAGCCCCGGGCACGCCGGGCAGTACTCTTGAACAGCAGAGGGTGGCAGATGGCATACCAGCGGTCCAAGGCGATGAAGCTGAGGGTCAGCACTGCCACAGACACAGACACGGCCTGCCCCATGGGGACACAATGTCAGTCCTTTTGGGGGCCACCCAGGGACATGGGGTGAGTGATGGAGCTCACAGCCCAGAAATACCAGGCAGCCAGGTGCAGTGCAGATCCTGACTCCACCACTTACTGCCTGGGTGCTGTGCTATGCCTAGTTACTTAGTCATGTCCGACTCTTTGTGATCCCACAGACCGTGGCCTGCCAGGCTCCTCTGTCCATGGGATTCTCCAAGGCAATAATACTCCAGAGAATGCCGTGCCCTCCCCCAGGGGATCTTCCCAGCCCAGGGATCGAACCCAGGTCTCCCTCATTACAGGCAGATTCTTCGCTGTCTGAACCACAAGGGAAGCCTTACTGCCAGGGTAGATTTGATCAAATCACTTACCCTCTCTGAGCCTCATCTGCAGAATGAGAATATATCATCCTCCTGGCAGGATTCTTTTTAGAATAAATGAAATTATGGGTGGAGAACATCCAGTCTGAGACCTGGCACATAGCAGGTGTAATACCTTACACTTTTCGAAATAACTACGTGCCAGACACTGTTCTCAGGATCCTCACAATGACTCATGAGGTGAGTACTCTTACCTCCAAGGTACAGATGAGGAAACTGAAGAACAGAAATGTTAAATAACTTGCCTTGGGTGAATTTCCTCACCTGCCTATCTTTATTTTCAGGGTGGCCGGAGTTAATCAGTTGAGTGGAAAACCTCAATATAATGGGAAAACCAAGAGGCATTCTCTCTGCCCTGGGATTTCCCCAGGCTGTAAGGGGAAAGAGTCCTCATTCTGGGAGGCAGAGATGAACCAAGGCCAAGGCCAGAGATGCAGGTGGGCACTGGCTCCACGAGTGCCCCCTGCCCTCTGGGGTATAGGGAGGTGGGGCAAGCGATGAAACCCTGGCCCCTGGCCAGTCCTCCTTCCACCCCGCCAACCCCACGGGGTGTCCTGATTCCCACCACTGGGAAAGGGAAGGCCCTGGCCAGCGGTGGGCGCAGAGGGAGGGGAGGGCACTCTCTCCAGCAGGCCCCCTCATATCTGCCCTCCCCTGGATCAGGGAGCAGCCCAGCGCTCTGTCTCAGCAGGCTCGTGCCTGGCTCCTCCTTGGTGTGCCTGAGTGCCTGGAGGTGACTGCACACGTGTCCCCAAATGACTGTGTGCATGTCTGCGGGTGTGACCTGGAGGGGATCTCTGCATCAGCACGTGGGGCTGTGTCTGTTTCCTTAAGCGTCGGGCCTGGTGGCCGGCTCCCGCTGACGGCAGAGCATGACACTGTTGAGGCCCTGAGCCACCGTCGGAAGGTCAAGACTCAGGGTCCCTGAGACCTGCGCAAGGCCGTGCTGGCGGGGCCTGGTGTGTCAGAAGGGTCCTGAGGGTCACCCAGGCGGAGCTCACCTGCAGATAGGGGATGACCTTGCAGAGGGCACGGCCAAAGAGCCAGGATTCAGTGATGTCTACTAACAAGCTGGCCGGCAGGCAGATGGCCGTCACCAGCACGTCGGCCAGGGACAGGTTGACGATAAAGTAGTTGGTGACCGTCCTCATGTGGTGGTTCCGCCACACGGCCAGGCACACTGCAGCGTGGGCAGGGGGGAGAGGTGAGGCTGGAGGCAGAGCCACGCCCAGTCTAGCTGGGCCCCATCAGTGAGACCCTTCCCCCACACTACTGGTAGGGACTGGGGAGAAAAGTGAGGCCCAGGACCCCTCCCAGTCCCTAGGGGGATCCCGCAGCACCCCCAGAGACCTACCCAGCGTGTTGCCCACCAGGGCTACGAAGAACACAGCCACATAGGCTGCGATGAGGACCCACTCGTACTGCTTCGGGTACAGATAATCACGCCACAGATAGCGGAGAAACTCATCTTCGTAGTCTGGAGGCTCCGAGGACCGTTCTCTGCCCTCAGTGGGGACCCCCATCTGGGGCCCTGGGGTGGCTGAGGGCTCCATGAGCTCAGGAGCCACTATGGCTGATGGGCATCCCAGGCTCTCCCCAGGGAGGGATGCACCTGGGCCAGGCCTCAGCCCACTTCCTTCGGAGCGGGGGGCCCAGTCTTGCACTCAGGTGTTTAGGGTCCCAGCCCCAAACCTTCTGAAGGAAGGAAGAAAGAAAGGGAACATTAGGGAGTGTGCTGGGTTACGTGCAGATAAGCTCTCTCTTTTTTTTTTTTTTTTTCACATCTTGGGGTGCATTACAATCTTTATTGCCACCAAAGACTTTTTAAAATATTATTTTTTCATAACTATAGACATAATCAGGGATCCTGCTTCCTAATGTTTGCCACAATATTTAAAATAAAATTAATTTGATGATAAGCTCTCTCTTAATTCTCACAATCATATGGGTTAGGATGAGCCTGAAATGGTTGGAGAAAGCCTTGCATCCCCATTCCATACCAGTTGGCCAACTCACCTCTCAGCCTCGGTTTCCCCATCTATCTCGTAGGGTAATAACTGAATCTGCCTCACAGGGCCAGTGAGGAGAAATCAGCTCTAATGAACGCCAAAGGTTTTACCCAGAAACTGGCTGGCTTCCTGGCCATTGCGGGTTACCGCTATTAAGAGCTCCGCTTTGCAGAGGAGACAGAAGCTCAGAGAGGTTGAGCCCCTTGCTCAAGGTCACAAGGCCACTAAGGTCTGTCTGAGTCCACCAAACACCACAGCTTAAGAAGGAGAAGCCATCCTGGTTGCAAACACCTTCTCTCCTGAGTCAGTTCACGGGCCTGAACTGGGGGGTTGTAAAAAAAAATGATCAAGGGAGGCTTTCAGAGACCAAGGCCCCGCCCACCAGACCTGTCAGACTCTCCCAGGTGGGCACACCCACCCCCACACACGGTGTGGGTGGAGGTGCAGGGAGGAGCTGACAACCTCCCTGAAAGCGAGGGGAGAGCCCCAGGCCCAGGGGCTAAGCGGGTCACCCCCGGCCCTAGATAGTCCCCGCCTTGAAACCCGCGGCCGCGATGAGCCCCGGCGGCCGCCAGGGGTCGCTGGACCGGCGCGCCGGCCGCCCTCTTCATTCATAAATCCGGCCTCGCACCCCGCTGCTCGTCCCTCGCTCAGACCCCTCCTCCCCCCAAACTGAGCCTGGACGACCCCGGATGTGTGTAGGAGGGTTGCGGATCCCTGGTGACCCCCGGGGGAGCATGAGAGGTCTCTTTCACATCCGTACCGGGCTCCGACGGACATGCTTCTCCAGCGGGACCTCATTGCATTTCGGGGGCTGTGGGGCGGTGGTCGGGGGAGCGAGGGCGCGAAGGGTTCTTTAGGAACCTACCGGAAAGAGGGCAGAACCTGCTGGGGACCCAGCCTCCCAGCACCCAGGTCACAGCTCCCGAGACCCTTGGCTCCCGCCGAGGGTCCTCTGGAACCGCCCACACCGGGCCCAGGGGTCCCCCAAGCCCTGCACCTGTTGGCTCTGGGACCCGGGCGTCCTCGGCTGCTGATCCCCCGATCGTGAAACGGGACTTCGCCTCCCCTCCAGGAAGGCCGGTCTCCGGGGCCCGGGGCTGGGGGCGGGCACCAGGCTGGGGCAGCCCCCTTCCTGGGCTGCGAGCTGGGCGCGAGCGCCGGCTCCGACGCGGGCTGTGGCAGGGCGCGGGCTCCGCGGAGCTGTGCGCCGCGGGGAGCGGGGGACGGCGCGGGAGGGGCAGGGCAGGGAGGCGGGTGGCGGGGCGGGGGGGGGGCAGCCTGTCTCGGCTGCAGGTCTCCCAACCCCCGAGTCTCGGAGGGCGGAGGGAGAGGCTCGTCCCTTCCAGCTCACGACTTCATGCGTCCATCCCACCTTCATTCATGTGTCCATCCGTTCATTCATTACATTCGCATGCATTCAACATTCCTGCCTCCGCCTACGCTGCATTCAGAGCGCACCTACTGTGTGCCGGCGGGACCCCGGGCAGCTTCGGAGAGCCACAGTGCTGGAGGTGGGTCCCAGCTCCACCTCTGCCCACTGCCTCACCTAGCTGACGAGGATGAAGGCACAGGTGGGTGACCAGGGTGAGAGAACGTCGCCTGCACCGTCTCCTGCCAGGCTCCAGCTGTTGCTGGAGCAGCGAGCTCCCAGAGATGCCTAGAGACCCTGCTCGCCCATCTCCCAGCCTCTGATTCTATCTGCCCTCCAGTCCTTTCTGTTCATGACTGCTTCACCCCTCCCAAGATAGGGAGGATAGACGGGGGCAGCACGCAGGGGAGCAGAGGGGCTGAAGAATTCAACAAACATTTTCTCAGCTGTGTGTCAGGCAATGAGCTAGAATATTACCGCTGCCATATGCAAGGTCCCCGCCATGCACGATCCCATTTAATCATCACATCAACCCAGTGAGGCACTTGTTCACCATCCCCAGTGCACAGATAAGGACCCTGGCCTCACGTGATTCAGTGACTTGTCCAGGGTCACACAGCAGAGGCCGAGCTGGGATTCAAACCTGCCCAGTTCTCCAGATCTATCCTCCTCCTTCAGCAGACAGAGGTGCCCAGGCTGACTGGAGGCAGGTGGGCTCACAGCCAGGCAAGTCTTCTACAGTGTGACAGAGCTGCTGGGGCACAGAAGGACAGATTGATTCAACCAGGACAGCAGGACAGTCTCCTAGAGCAGGGATGTAGAGACTTAATGAGAAGCCCTGCAGTGGGGGTGGGGCTGGGGATTCAGGCAGAAGAAACAACAGGGACAAAGGTATGGCGGTTGGGCCTTCCGGGAGTCACAAGCCGGTGAAGGGTGACCTCCTAGGCATTGAGCCATCACCTTGACCATCCTCTATGTCTGGACAGGACCTTCCTAACCCGTCAGATTCACCCTACTCTCTGAGCCTCAGAGATGCACACTCCTTCCCTCCTGGGAGGGGATTCCTGAGCTGGAACTTCCATCTTCCCTGTTGCAGCCAAAGGCTTTTCTTCAAAGGAGCTAGAGATGCACATTAGGCATAGAGGGTGTGGGAGGGAAGCTGGCGGCAGGTCGGGGACCTCCTTTACCTGTCCAGGGAAGGAGGGAGGACCAAGGCTGGTCCTTATGTAGCACTCTGTCCCTGGGTGGCATCTGCACAGTAAGTGATCGTTCAGAGCATCCATGAGGTTCCAAGGCTCTGCCCTGCATGTCCGAGGTGCCTGCCTGCCATAGGGAATGGATAAGGGGATGTGTGTGTGTGTGTGTGTGTGTGTGTGTGTGTTGGGGGGGGGCAGGGGGAAGAGAGAGAGAGTTTGAGTGTCTGTATTTAGAAGTAAGGGTTGTGACTACATGTCTGGGGAATCCAGTGTGTGGCTGTGTGTGTGTGTGTGTGTGTGTGTGTGTGTGTCTGAGCATGCATGTGGGTAGGGGACAGGCTCTGGGTTGATGACTGGAGTCACGCGGGGTGGGATGTGTCTGTATGATGTGTGTCTTGATTTGTCTCTATGCATACTGATGTCTGTGTCTAGAACGACGTGTGTGTGTGTGTGTGTGTGTGTGTGTGTCTTGGGGGTGTCTGTCTCTCGGCGTGTCTGGATGCGTGACTATAGCTTTGACTAGCATGGCCTCCCAGTCCATTACCCTGTGAGTGTGGGAATGTGAGCGTGGTGAGCCTTTGTGTCCATGGCTTTGCGAGTGCGCATGCATGGCACTTGGTAGTCTGCCCCCCCAGCGATGACTCATCTAATCTCCCAAGTGAATCCCCCTGTCCCCCGCCCATCTAGAGATGTGACTGTCCGCTAGGTACGGGCTGGGGAGTGGGCTGCGGCACATGCGGGGATGGGAGGCAGATCGCGCGCGGACACTCATATGACAGCCACAGCAAACAAGGTACAGGTGGTGATGTGAAAGGGACAGCCCCCTCTGTGCCTGTGTGGGCGATGGCCACTGCTGAGCGCTGCACAGCCCCGGCTTAGAACCCAGCGCAGAGCTCAGAATGCCATGATTCAGGGCCTGCCAGAAACCCTGGGTCAGAGTGAACAAGGAGCTTCCCAAGTCCCCCGTATCGTTGTGTTGGGGGTGTACGTGTCTGTGTGGGGCAGAGTCAGGCTGAGAATCCACCCCCACACTCACAATATCCAGTTTCGCAGAGCCTGTCCCATCTCCCCTTAAGAAGTATCCCTTTTCATTCCCGGGGACCCCAGAAGTGGCTGCTCCCCAGGACAAGGGATTCTGGGTGATTTCTTCTAACCTGAAGCAGCAGATCTTTCTTCCTCCCCTACCAGACCCTGGGCAGGGAGGAAGCTCTGGGTCCCCAGGTCCGTCTAGCCTGGAGTCTGTCTCCCTAAGCCACTGCTTGAGGGTGGGAGAGATAGACCAGTTATTTGGCCTCTGTGGGAATGGAGTAGAGACCCTGGGGTATCTTGCTCAGAGAAAATTCAGGGGCCCCAAGGGGGCCACTGATGCTCTAGGAGACCCTTCAAGAGCCGCAGTGGTTTGGTCCTTGGGCTAACAGCACTGTCCTCTGGGCATGCATGCTAAGTCACTTCTGTCTGACTCTTTGCAGCCCAATGGACTGTATGTAGCCTGTCAGGCTCCTCTGTCCATGGGATTCTCCAGGCAAGAATACAGGAGTAGGTTGCCATACCCTCCTCCAGGGGATCTTCCTGACCCAGGGATCAAACCCAAGTCTCCTGCATTGGCAGGCAGGTTCTTTACCACTAGTGCCCCCTGGGAAGTCCTCTGGGAGACCTTGGCTTCTGGCAAACCACCTGTGTCTAGAGGAGGGCCCCAGGACCTCATATTCTTCATCTCCAGGCTGGGCGCGCAACCTGATGCCTCCTCCTCCCAGGGAGGGCCAGCCTGAAGCCTTTGCTTTGCCCGAGCTGTCAGTCAACCTTTGGCCACACGACCTCTTTCCTGGAACCAGCCAGCTCCAGCCTTGTTGATCTAATCCTGAGCCTCTGAGCCACAGGGCACGGTCACATCCATCTTCAAGTGTCAGCCTGGGCACTGCCCCCAGGTGCTACCTCCCCCTCCCTCCCAATTCCAGTGTGACTTACAGTAACCTCTGTCTGGCTGGGACTAGAATAATCAAAATGTAATTGCATTCTCAACTCGCTAATGCTGCCATGGGCCCAGGATGGGGATGGGAACACTCTGGGTGGGGAGGGCAGAGGTGCTTCTCAGAAAAACAGAGATCAGAAAACAAGCAGAGGTGTGGGGTGGGGCCAGGGGAAGGCCAGCAGTGAGTGGGCTGTGGGCCCAGAAAGGAGAGTTCTTTCAGAGGGCTGAGTCCAGACAGGCCACGGAGGTGGCCAGGGTACTGTGGTCCTTGGGCCCAAAAGCACTGATCTCTGGGAGTTCCTGGCAAAGTGTCATACCTGCAGGAGGGACCGAGGGACTTCAGGTCCTCCATCTCCAGGCCAGGTGCTCAGGTTTTGTGCCCCTTCTCCTTGGGGAGAGCCAGTCTTTTTCTGGGATTTGAGTGATTGGAAAGGACCCACCATCCACCAGGAGAAGCAGGGGTCCAGGGCTGGAAGTCAGGCATCCTCAGTGGCTTACCAGGTAGGGAGCACCTTCAAGCCGGGTCAGGAGGTAGAGAGAGGGGGCTGGAGACAGCAGTCTTCTGTCTGCTCACTCACTCAGAGACCCACTCAGCAGACAGACACTGGTGGGAGGTAGGCTGCAGAGCTGGGGGGGTCCTCCTGCTTAGGCTGAGGAGACCCCATGTAAGCACGGGTGGAGTGGGTATCAAATGCATTAGGGTGGGAGCTGTGGAGTCAGGCCCAGGGGTGGGATGGGGCTCGGACCAACAATGGGTAGTGCATGTGGATCTGAAGGAAAACAAATTAAAACCCCTCATCTCGTTAATTCTGGAGGTGAAAGAAAGTGAGGAGCACAGGCTCTGGGGCCAGAGAGGCCTGGGTTAGAGTCTGGACTCTGTCACTTACTACTGTGTGATCTTGGACTAGTCACTTCACCTCTCTGATGGACTGAGTCATGGCCCTCAAACATGTCCGTGTCCTAATCCCCAATATCTGTAAATAAGTTACAATGCCAAAGAGGCTTTGCAGATGGGGCTAAGTTAAAGATCTCGATGGAGTAGCCTAGTTTAACCAGGTGGGCCCAATATAGTATAATGAGGACAGGTCCTCATAAGGAGGCAGGTGGGTGAGAAAGAGGAGATGTGATGACAGAAGCAGCGGCTAGAGTGATACCAGCCCTGGAAGGGGCCATGGACCAAGGCATGATAGCAGCCTCTAGAAGCTGGAAAAGATAAGCAACAGAGTCTTTCCTGAAGTCTCCAGAAAGAACGCAGCCCTGCCAGTTCCTTGATTTTTAGCCTCATAAGACACATTTGGACTTCTAAACTCCAGAAACATAAGAGAGAAAATTTTGTGTGGCTTTAAGTCACTTAGTTAGTGGTAATATGTTACAGTGCAATAGGAAATAATACAACCTGTCTGTGTCTCATTTCACTGGTTAGGAGACCAACAGGAACCTTTAGCACGCTCTTGTGTATTCGCTGTGAACAGAGCAGGTGGGCAGAGCAGCAAGTGCTGGGCACCAGAAAGACAGACAATCACACATTCATTCTCATGATATTTTAAAAATAATATTTTTAAAAATCAGAGTGATCTTCATTGGGAGGATCCAGACTTTGCCAGATATATTTATGCTTATCCTGTCATTTTTTTTTTTTTGGTTTTTGTTTGTTTGTTTTTGATGTGGACCATTTTAAAAGTCTTCATTGAATTTATTACAATATTACTTCTGTTTTATGTCTTGTTTTGTTTTGGCCAGGAGGCATACGGGATCTTAGCTCCCTGACCAGGGATTGAACCTCTGCATTAGAAGAGAAGGGCTTCAGCACTGGACCACCACTGAAGTCCCTAGTAGTGTTTTTGTTTCTCGTCATGTATTGGTGCTGGAGGCTGTTAAAGATCCAAATCCTAAAATAATAAGTAATATTAGTAGTAAACAATGACCACAGGAAATGTGTGCTGGTGTGGCTATTTCAACACAGGAACATATGAGGGGAAGCAAAAGAAGGAGAGGCCTGATCTTCTTGGGAGGGGTGTGTGAGTCTGTGTCTGTGTG